GGGTGACCCTGCAGTGACCAGGGCAGGCTTAGGGACACCGGGGTGACCAGGATGGGGTTGGGGACACCGGGGTAACTGGAGCAGGGCTGGGGACACCGGGGTGACCCCGTGGTGACCAGGATGGGGTTGGGGACACCACAGGGAAGGGCTGGGGACACGGGGGTGACCAGGGCAGGCTTGGGGACACCGGGGTGACCAGGATGAGGGGGACACGGGGGTGACCAGGACGGGGTTGGGGACACCGGGGTGACCAGGATGGGGTTGGGGACACGGGGGTGACGCCGCTGTCCCCGCAGTGCCGCTGCCGCCGCCCCGGACGCTGCAGCAGCTGGAGGTGCCGCTGCTGAGCCAGCGCCACTGCCGCTGCCTGTACGCGCTGGGGACAGCGCCGGGGGACACGCCGGGGACACCCGCGGGGGACACCATCTGCGCCGGCCTGCCGCAGGGCCAGCGCGACGCCTGCCAGGTGGGTGGCACGGCTGTCACCTCCCCGGGACACCGTCACCTCCCCGGGGACACCCCCGTGCCGCTGTCACCGCTGTCACCTCCCCTGTGACACCCCTGTGCCGCTGTCACCGCTGTCACCTCCCCTGTGCCAGTGTCACCTCCCCTGGGACACCCCTGTGCTGCTGTCACCGCTGTCACCTCCCCTTGTGCCAGTGTCACCTCCCCTGTGCCGCTGTCACCGCTGTCACCTCCCTGTGTCCCCGCCCACCCCCGGTGTCCCCAAGGTCCCTCTGTGTCACCACTGAGCCCCCCCGGCCCGATGTCCCTCTTCATCCTCACTGTGTCCCCAGTGTCCCCTCAGTGTCCCCTGTCTCCAGTGTCCCCTCAATGTCCCCAGTCACACCCCGTGTCCCCAATGTCCCCTCAATGTCCCCAATGTCCCCAAATCCCCTCAATGTCCCCAGTCACACCCAGTGTCCCTGTTGTCCCCTCAATGTCCCCTCTGTCCCCAGGGTGACTCCGGCGGTCCCCTGGCCTGCCGCCTCGGTGGCACCTGGCACCTGGCGGGCGTGGTGAGTTGGGGTGACGCCTGCGGGGTCCCCGGCCGCCCGGGGGTCTACACGGGGGTGTCCCCTCACCTCTCGTGGATCCTGTCCCTTGTCCCCGAGCTGGCCCCGCGCCACCCCCCCCGCGACGTCCCCGAGGCCACCCCCGAGCCCCCCGGGGGGCGCTGTGACATCGGGGACATCCCCCCGGGGTGGCCTCGGCCGCTGGCACCCGGCCCGGGGGGGGACGCGGGGGCG